TGTTTTTGATAGATGTAGATAGTTCGTTTGTGTCCATTTTAGCATCTTCCGTGTTATCCTAAAGTTTTTTAAAGATGGCTGACGTTTTGTTAAATGGTAATAACTGTTTTGGTATCAATAGTATCAGCTGAATGGGCTGCCAACTTAGTTATATATATATAAACCCCTCGATCCATGCTGCCCTGTTGTCTTACTGTGGTTGGATAATGCGGGCTTGCGTTATATTGAATATTGTTTATCTACTCAGATTATTCTTAATTTTTTTTCAAAATATTCTGAATTCAAGCATTTTCTGTTTAATCTTTATTTTTTATAAAAATAATTCTTTGCTGATTTCATTGCAATGTGCGGCCATCAGCCACCAATGCACAATGTTTTGTCAAGTTCCGTTATATCGCAATCAGATTTTTAAACTAATTTTCCTTCTAAACAATGTTTTCAGTATTAAATGGAGCCTTCTTTTTAATCATAATAGAACAATTTTACACTGAAAATCTTGCTGAAATGTGAATGAACGAAGACTTTCAAAGTTTCAACGCAATTTCTTCTATGATGTTAGGTGCATACCTATACACACACACACACGTACACATATTTACATACTTAATAAAAACCCTAGTTTTTAGTGGTTGTTTTTTATATAGTATCTAATAGGAACATTTATTTCTGAACGATCCTTTTAGCTATATTACTTAACGATTTATTGATTTCATTTGATATCGTTCAATTTTCACAATGAAATGTCAGTTCAAATTTTATTATCTCAACTATTTTAAATGCAATTATATTGAATAAATTGTTACCACAGCTTTGTTTGGATGTCCAAATTTTAATTTAATTATTTTTATTTTAAATATTTTAGGTTTAAATAAGTTTGAACGATGAATTTGTTTCATGAGGTCGTTTTAATTTCCGTATTTGGAACAACGAGAAATATTAACACCGGCCTGTGCGAGGTTCTTTTGTGGTCTAAAAAATTTCCTATTGGCACGCACGAGAGAAGCAGCTGTCTACTGCTAGCATCGTACTGCCAATCAAACGTTCAAATCTTTCATTTTAGAAATTTTTCAATGAAGTTTAATGTGAAAAAAGTTGAGATAAGTAGTAATTAATTGACTGGCAAATTTTTCCAAAAACTCATTAATCTTATTCAAAATATTATAATTAATAGGTTTTCGCTCATCACTATATTTCAGAAATAATTGTTGATTGACGCCATGTTCCTTTTTTAATGACAATTTTTCATATTTATTACTTTTAAAATGCGATCGGCGGTTTATTAAAAGCTCAGACGTGTAAAACTTGCTTTTAAAAGTAATTATCTTTCATTTGGTCATTTTGAAAGTAACTTTAGAGGCCTAATTAATGATTTCGCCGTAATAAATTTCAACGCAGTCCAATCTTTATGTTTATATGTGGTGACATTAATATCTGCTAGAGCGGGCTGTTATTTAAAGGGAAACAGTTCCAATCTCAGTCGTTCCTCGTTCGTTTCATCTCTAACATCGCACTCACTCTCTTTCAAATGTTTCAAAATTTTAAATCCTTTACTGGCTCTCAGTCAAATTTATTGATTTTTGTGGAAGATATTTACAAATTTTTAAATTAAAATAAATCTCTAAAATATTTATTGATATTTCATTCCATGTTATCATAGAATTATAAATAAATAAACAACATTAAGAAAATAAATGGTTATCATTTTTATTAATTTTACATTTTAAAACTTAATTTCGTTTTTATTTTTAGCTGAACTATTGTTATTAATTAAAGAAATTTCATTTAATTAACTTGCTTGTTTCAACCTCCTACTTAGACTACTACACTATTTGGCCACCTTATGTCTTTTATAAATAATATTATAAATGAGCAGGGTTGTCTTTCTTACTAACCTTCCTTATTGAAAATGAGGCTATTGCATAGCATTGCACACACTGAAGGAATATCTAAGGAATTATTTATTTTAAATATTATATGATCTGGCTATGCATATACTTTTAGTTTTATTTTAATAGTTGCTTATTTTACTTTAATTTTCAAATATATAGCAAGATTTACTAAAAAAAATTTCTAGGATTTTCTACCAGCTTATGGCAATTGGAAATGGACATACCGAATAGACTAAACTATGATCAACCTCCATCAGCTCCCCTGCCCAGTCACATGACACATCACATGACCCCCTATGGACCCCCTATTTATGACAGAGACAGCAATTGTTTGGACGGCGGTGTTGTTGACTCTAAAAGAGATATATCAGATATTTTGCAGCAAATCATGACAATCACAGACCAGAGCCTTGATGAGGCTCAAGCCAGGTATGCATGCTTGTACTGGTATCTATGTTTGTTTCTTTATATCTGTGTCTGTGTATGTGTGTTTGCATCTTTGGGTATGCATTTGTATGTGTTGTAAGCGTGTGTTTATGTATTCTTTTGGGTGTATGTATGTATTTTATGTATTCTTATGTGCTCTTTTGGGTGCTTGTACTGTTATGCTCAATCAAAATGAACATTTATGTGATGATAGTGCATACAAACTATATTGTATTGTTTGCTGTCTCTTTTCATCTCTCTCTCTTCTCTCTCTCTCTCTCTCTCTCTCTCTCTCTCTCTCTCTCTCTCTCTTTCTCTCTATAATGTTTCTCTCTATATAGAGTTTCTATAATGAAATGCAATGTGAAGGATGGTAAGCATGTTGTTACATTTGATTGCTTGCATTCATCCTTGGGCATGTTATTTCATCATTATATAATTTATTTTATTGAAAATTATTATTTGAGTTAGTATTACTAATATGAAAAAACGATGATTGTGATCATTCATTAGTTGCCTGTTAAGTTCTGTCTTAGATGTTAAACTGTAAATTCATTGTTATCTTGTTTGAAAAAGATAAAACAAATATATATATATATATATATATATATATATATATATATATATATATGCGTGTGTGTATGTGCGTGCGTGCGTGTTTGTGTGTGTGTAGCATGGGCTAATTTGTTGGCACATCATATTTATTAAGTCAACTGGGTGTTTTGTTAGCTCTATCTCAAGTTACAAATTTCCATTCAATTCATGGTGCCATCACTGAACTGTTGTTGGTACATTTGTGGTAGTGCTTATGCTAATGCTGATGAGTCTAACAGGGAATATTTAAAATAATAATGGTTGTGAGGATGGTGATGTTGTTGTTGTTGTTGTTGTTGTTGTTGATGATTTTGATGATGATGATGAGAGGAGAGGTGCAAGTTGTTGAGGATGATGATGACAGCTGATGAGATAGTAATTGTAATGAGCATGATGAGGATATTTATGTGGATGTTTTATTTTTAGATTCAGCCTGCCTTGCTTTGATTGATTTGATAATGGATGGCATGGGCAACATAGCAACATATTTAGATACATACATACATAGATTCACACTACACACACACACTTCACACACACACACACACTTACATATGCAGCATGCTTACATACATGGGAATAGATTTAAACAAAAGTACATACAAATTTAAATATAACTATATATATAACTATATATATACATACATACATACATACATACATACATACATACATACATACATACATACATACATACATACATAATTGAACACTGCACTCACACATACATACACACAGACTGACACATACATACACACATGTGCATATATCTTTTTATCTATGCAAGTATACACAAATTTTTTTTTTAATTTTTCTTTTTGCTTGATTCACAAATTTTCTTCCTATTGTTGTTCTTGTTTTTATTTTTTTCTGTTTTTTTTTGTTTTTTTTAAAGATTTTATCTACTCAGTTCAGAGGAATATTTATGTTAACATGGCTCAGTGGAGTTTTAATTATACTTAATTATCAAATTTTTTACTTCATGTACTATATTTTAATTACAGAATTCAATGATTAATTATTTAATTGATTGATTGATTAATTAACTAATTAATTTATTAGATTAATTATTTTTAGAAGTGAAAATAAATTTATTTCCTTATGACATAAAATGTGTATGGGCTGACAAATGACTAATATGGTTGATGACATGGCAAACAATTATCATATCATATATCATATCTATGGAGTAGAGTAGAGAATAGTATCATACCATAGCATAGTATCATATCATATTATCATATCATTCTTATAATCTGTAATCTTTTTTTCTGCTCCTAGCTTTTTATTTATATATTTTGAAGAAAAAAAAATTTCATTTCAGAAAACACACACTAAATTGCCACAGAATGAAACCTGCACTATTTCAAGTTTTATGCGAAATCAAAGAAAAAACAGGTATGTGTTTTGAACGCATCATCATCATCGTCTTCATCATCGTCTTCGTCTTCATCATCTCTATTGTCATATTCTACATCATTATCTTCACCATTATAAACACCTTCTTTATCATGTTCTCCATCATCATCTTCTTCATCATCTCCATCATCTTCTTTCTCATCATCCTCTTCATCATCATCACCATCATCGTCACCGTCCTCTTCTTTATTATTTCCCTGCATTCTTTCTTTTAATATTTAATTTCATGAAATAATTTATTTATTTGTTCTAAATTACTAATATAATGATGAAAATGATTTCATCTCAAACCATCATTTGAAGCTTTGGGCAATAATATTTGTACATAGTTACAAACTTGTGAAAATTTTTCAATCCATTATTTAGCTCTGAATTTTTTTTATAATTCTATTCCTTGAGTAATCTTCGGTAGGCATCTGTCAAAAATTGTTGAATTGCAAAATCATTAAAAGTTATAACCTAAAAGATAATCCATGAATAAATTAGTAGTACTAATTGGCACGCAACCATTCAACGTCATGCTGACCACACATGCACAGTTCTTAGTTTGCGAGGCCCTCAAGATGACGAACCAGCTGACCCACAGCTCCTCCGTCTTGACAACATGCTCATCGCAGAGGGGGTGGCAGGCCCTGAGAAGGTGGGGGGCTCGTTGGCCTCCAGTTCCCAGTCCCTGGCGGGCAACCAGGAGAATGCAATTGAACATTCGGACTATCGAGCTAAGTTGGCTCAGATCAGGCAAATATATCACACGGAATTGGAAAAATATGAACAAGTTTGTTTCTGTTTATTTTGTTATTTTTGCTGTATGTTGCTTACTTGGCTTGTATGTCATACTTTTTTTAAATGTTGTATTCACCTGCATTTGTATGGGTAATGTAGTATGTATGTATTATTAGCTAACAGTCAAAGTTTGTGTATGCGTGAATGTGTACATGTGGCTGGATTTTTTTATGATTTTTCAACTTTTTTTGTGCGTTTGTATGCGTGTGTGTGCATCGCATCTTTTCAACACCGTCCTTTATGGATTCACACCACATTGATAGAAAACATTAGAACATAACAATAAAGTGCAAGCGAATGTGCTTTCAATTTCGATTTTTAAGAGAATTCTTGTTTGTCCTGAAATAACTTTGTGGTAGAAGGAGTATGAAAGTGATGCTATGAGAAATTTTGAGGAAGATAGAGAGAGAAATGTAATGCAACTGCTGCTGCTCTGAGCTATGATGATTTAATATCAATAAATATTTGTCTGCTGTTTGAGCTCTCCTGATTTACATCCATTGAGACATCATTATTGTTAGCATCATCGTCATTATCACTATTACAATCTTTCATTAATTATTGTCTTTTTTTATTTCTATTTTTTTATACTTTTGTTTTTTTTCCTGTTCTGATGATAATTAGGATTATTTCAGACAAATTCAAACACAACTCATGAACACTTTTAATAAATGTTCGTGCCATCAGTGAATGCTCAAATTGATACAAATTAATGAATTAACGTTATAAATCATTGATGAAATGATGTCAACGAACAAATGTTCATAGATGTATGATATGGGGTATGGTACTTTAATAGCTAATTATTATTTATCTTTTTTTTTATTTATTCAATAGCTAATTGTTACTTTTCTACCGTCCGTCAAAAATGACTCACCAATCAGCCAACACAATGGTTAAAGCGTGATGGCTCAATGGTTAAAGACGTCTGGTCTTGCTATTGTAATGACTGGGTTCGAATACAAAGAGATTCCCGCCTATCATATACAATGTGTATGATGAGTGGTTTGCACGCGTATTCATGTACGCTGTGTGTGTTTGTCGTTGAAACCTCTGAAGCAAGCGCAAAAGAGAGAAAGAGTGATCTTTAACCTTTTAACCTTAACAACTCAACTTGACACAGGCATGCTCCGAGTTCACAGCACATGTCGTGAACCTCCTCCGAGAGCAGGGATGTACACGGCCGATCGCACCGAAGGAGATCGACCGCATGGTCAGCATCGTCCGCAAGAAGTTCACAGCTATCGAGTTGCAGTTGAAGCAGAGTACCTGTGAAGCAGTCATGATCTTGAGGTCCAGGTTCTTAGATGCTAGGTAAGTTGGTTAATTGATCGGTCAGTCGGTCGGCTGCTGGCTGGCTGGCTGGCTGGCTGGCTGGCTGGCTGGTTGGTTGGTTGGTTGGTTGGTTGGTTGGTTGGTTGGTTGGCTGGCTGGCTGGTCGGTTGGCTGGCTGGCTGGTCGGTTGGCTGGTTGGTTGGTTGGTTGTTGATCTACAGTTGTCTGTAGTAGGAAGAGGATGGTAGTCATGCTGTTGTGATGTTAGTTTAAACGGGAATGATTGACATAGTAAGTTTAATCTCTCAACACATGATGCAAAACGACAGCTTAAATAACAAAACGAACGAATCAACTTCACAAAACACCACAACTACCACCACAGGCGCAAGAGACGCAACTTCAGCAAGACAGCTACGGAGGTGTTGAACGAATACTTCTACTCGCACCTGAGCAACCCGTACCCGAGTGAGGAGGCCAAGGAGGAGCTGGCCAGGAAGTGTGGCATCTCTGTATCGCAGGTTGCTGCATGATGCTTTGGTGGTCGATCAATTGATTGGTTGGTTGGCTGGTCTGGATGTTCCATTGATTGATTGGTTTGTTGATCTGGATAATTGATTGACTGGTTGATTGACTGGCCAATCAACTGATTGACTGTCTTGATTAGTTTATCAGTAATTCAATTGATTAGTAGCTGAATTGTTTTACTTGCTTGGGATGAGGTGATGGTTAATATTAATGTGTCAATTAACCAAGTTGTATAAATAGAAAAAGGCCCATGAATTGAAATTGTTGAGTGTGACACCTGTATCGTCTGTTGTCTTCTTTATTAACGCTTCAATTTACGGCAGTTTGCTGCACTCATTTCAAGTACCATCATTTCTTCTCTTCATTAGCTTCATGATTCTCATCATGTTCCAAAAGTGACAATTCTCTCTACAATCACGCTGATCGTCATTACCTGAAACATGTTGATTTACATTAGTTTCACCGTCTTTATCATCATTAATATCATCATCGTTAGTTTCATCATTCTCATCATCATTATCGTCACCATCCTCATCTTCATCATCCTCATCATCGTCATCTCCATCCTGGCAGGTATCCAACTGGTTCGGCAACAAGCGCATCCGTTACAAGAAGAACATAACGAAGGCACAAGAGGAGGCCAACATGTACGCAGCTAAAACTGCCGCTGCCGCCGCTGCTAACTTCCACCACAGTCCCACAAGTACTGATGGGTCCAGTCAAGGTTAGCTGCTGATGTTGCTGCTGTCGTTGCTGCAGATTCTGCTGCAGTTTTGCTTGCTTGCTCGGGGTTGTTTCTGCTTGCTGCTAGTTGTATATTGCGGTTGCTTGTTTGCTGTTATTTTTTTATTTTTGTTTTTTATGAATTCGTTTGCTGCTTTCTCAGTCTGATATCACTCTCAAGAACAATAAATTGAATAGGCACTCCAACGTACGGGGGCATGGGTTCAAGGTCGTTGAGTTCAAGTGGGCCCTCGCTGTACATGGGTGGTGTCAACGGGGGTGATGGCGGCCCTCAGGTTACTACCCCTTATAACGTGATTGTTTTGATTTTGGGATTTTGCTGGTTGCGGAATTATCATAATTTGCTTTATTTAATTTTTCCTTCCCGTTCTAATTTATTCATCTCTTTATTCATCTTTACTAATAATGTACTTATCGTCGATGTGCTCATTAATATTAATTTACATGTGCTCATTAATATTAATTTATTCCAGTCAGGTACATACAACAGTAGCGAAGGAGTATCTAGTTCAACACCAGGTCTCTATGACCCACATCTTCAGTGAATTGACATAATTTATTCACGACATGACCCACATCTTCCGTGAATTGACATAATTTATTCACGCCATGACCCACATCTTCATTAATCTACATAATTTATTTGTCTGTATGTCTGTCTACTCATTCATTCATTTGTTTTTTGTTGTTTAATTATTGATATTATAATGATAACGACAATTTATTTTTATTATTATTATTATTTTTAATTATTATTATTTGTTGTTGATGTTGTTATTGTTTATTATCTATAAAAAAATTCTCATGTTGAGTATGTATACCTTCACATGTATGTGCATGTTATTTTTGTTGCTGTTGCATGTTGTTATTGTAGTTGCATGTTGTTGTTGTTGCATGTTGTATTTGTTGTGGTGGTGGTTGACTTTATGAATGCCAATCAACTAACCTAATTAAATGTAATAATTTAATTAATTTTAATTAATTTGTTTTATTTTAAATTTATTTGTAAAAATCTTTAATTCATCTATTTATTTTGTTCATTTATTTTTTTTTGTTTTATGTTGATCTGTTTTTCATTCGCTCATTCATCCATTCAATTTTTTGTTCAATCATTCATGCAATCACCTATTCTTTTTTCATTTTTTTGTTACTCCATCAAACCATTCATTCATTCATTCATTCATTCATTCATTCATTCATTCATTCATTCATTAGCACTAATGTACATTAAGTGTTGATATTATTTTACTTTACAATTATATATATATATATATATATATATATATATATATATATATATATATATGTATGTATGTATGTGTGTGTGTGTGTGTGTCTATTTGTTTCTATTAGGAATTGCGTATATCTAAGCAAACAAACAAATAAACAAACAGACAAGCAAGAAATTAAGACTACACGTTCTTAATACTCTTATTGTGGAAACATATTTTAAGATTGAAATATTTTGAATGAATGGATGAATGAATGAATAGATGGATGAATGAATGAATGAATGAATGAATGAATGAATGAATGAATGAATGAATGAATGAATTAGTTAAATATATATAATAGGATTTATTATCACTAACAAGGGTCAAGTTATATTGAGAGATTACTATGTGTATAAAGTTAATTATTGTTATGTATGTATTTGTAGTTATCAATATTATCATCGTTATTATTATTATTAAACATTTCTCCATACATATTTCTAATCAATCAATCAATCAATTATTCTATATATGTGTGTACATGTATGTATGTATATGTGTGTACATGTATGTATGCGTTGACTTGTTTGTATATAGCTAGGAGGTTTTTCATTGGATATGTAGTACAGTACCCAACGTGTTAAGGTCTGTATGTCCTACAATCGTGTATCCAGCCAATCTTCTGTGGTGGTCTTTCGGTTATATTCTTTGATTAGCTATTATGGAGGTTTATTTTATAAACTTTCGTTGTATATAATTGGCACGTGTGTGTGCGCGCGCGTGTGTGTGCGTGTATATGTGTAGATGTGTGTATGCGCGCGCATGTGTGTGTATGCGCGCGCGTGTTTGTGTGCATGCGTTTTATTATCTATATGTACGTCTTTGTTTTGTTTTCATATTTCCGCTTGTACGTGTTTGCAAGTTAGGATTTATATTATTACACCTCCTTGTGCTACTCATCAAAGTCATAACACGCCAGGATATATTTGTATGGGACCTATGGTAGGTGCAAAATATAATAATACACGAGTGTGTGTGCCGGTGCGTCTGTCTGTATGTGTCTCTATGCATGCATCTTTGTGCCTGCGAATGTTACTGTTTTCGTATGTATGTATGTATGTTTGTTTGATGGTTTGATTGTTTGTTTGTTTGTTTGGCTGTCTGGAAGTGTTGCACAGTGCAAGTCAGTTAATACGGGTAACATGCTATATAAACCAACCTTTAAAGACGATGTGCTTACATGTGTATGTGCTCTATGCATGGGAATTTTGTTTATGTTTGTACATGTGTTTTGTTTATGTGAAAATGTGTGTGTATGTGAGGGCGCAGAGGTTTCGAATGTCCGCAAGCATAATCAGACTGACGCTGTTCCATAATATTTTCTTCTTCATTTGCATATTCGTTTGTTTTTCACGTTTTCTGGGTATTAACTGATGTTTTTTAGTTTTTTTTTTCATTTCATGTTTTTTTCATTTTTACATAGCAAACCTAAACTCCACGGCGACAATCGGTAAAATTGTATATACTACTTGTTTGTTTGATTGTTTGTTTGCGTTAGTGTTTTTTTTTACATTTTTGCATGTTTTTATGTATTTGTGTGTATGTGTTTGTTTGTATGTGTTTGTGTGTATGTGTTTTTGTGTGTGCATGTGTAAATATGCATCTATGTATGTACTTCACGCATGCATTCGTTTTAAAGTATCACGTTCAATATAAGTAAGTACCATGTTTAAGATAATGCTTATAACTAGCATGTTTGTGTTTACAATGAGTTCAATCTGATGAACAAAGACATGTTGTTCGTTACTTTCAAGTACATATATTATATACCTATTTCAATCTTAGTTTGATTTTCATTATCAATTATGGAAATTGATTCTAGAAGAGGCTACACGGATTTCGGTACTTCGTTTTGTTTTTACAGTGCTTTTTGGATGTTAGAAATTTATTTTTGTTAAGAATGTGATCTGGATCAACTTAGGGCGAAGGAAAAAATTATGGTTAAGCCAGGAATGTCGCATTTGGCCAAGAGAGAAAAGGTTATTAAATTAATATCTGCAAGAAAGCTGTTATAACATCGTTTAAATGTATGTCCACATGTGTTTGTGTGTGTGTGTGTATGTGTCTATGTCTGTGTGCATGCATGTGCATATCTATGACTAATGTTTGTTTGTTAGTACTCAAATAATTTGTACATTGTATGTTTATAAATAATGTATATAGCATACCCACATAACAAGCACCTGTATGCATGTATCTACTCTGATGATGGATATATTTATCATTTGATAGTTTTAGCGAAATAACAATCATCTTCCTATTATCAATTTTTTTTTGGTTTATTTAAATGTTTACGCTTTTTTTTAATTTATCATAATGTTATTTAACTCGTATTGAGTAATGCATTTTTCTATTGTATATATATATATATTATTTATATATTATATATATATTATATATATATTATATATATATTATATATATATTATATATATATTATATATATATTATATATATATGTGTATACATATGTATGCATATTATATGTATACATACGTATTTGTATATTGTACACAAAGTCGTTCTTTATGTAATTGTGTTTGTGCTATATATATATATATATATGTATATAAAATCAATGCAAATTAATTTTTTGACTATATATATATATATATATATATATATATATATATAAATGTCTTTAGTCCGACCTCTGCATAGGAACTAAGTAAATTTTATGTTGGTAAGTAGTTAAGCATTATGGATCTGTGACCTGACCTTATTTGTTAAGATTATGTAGGTCATAAATGTGTATATGAAAAATTTGTACAGGATTGGATGCTGTGTGGTCTTGTGTAGTCGTGGCCATATTTGTTGTGGTTGGTTTGCTATAATGGAGAGAGGTGTTGTGTAGAGATTTCATTCGCATGATCCGTCGAATCTTAAGCTTTGTTGTAAATGCTCGTCACCTGTAAGAAAAGTAGAGAGAAAGCTAATGTGTATGGATCTTCCTGTAAGAAAAGTAAAGAGAAAGCTGATGTGTATGTGATGGGATTGCATAGTGAGGTTATAGTCGGAAGATGTGAAATGTAGAAAAGGAATAGGGATCTGTACGGATCCAGTTCTTCTGAGCATTCGTATGTTAAGATTTTCTGGCATCTAGGATTTCCATTAACCGTCTACCCACTCTTCACCATCACGCATCTTATACGCCATTTAAAGTTTTGCCTGCTTTTCCTTCAAATCCATCGGTGTTGAAACATAAAAAAACTACCCACTCCAATCCACAACCATGTGTGATGCTGATGTGATCTTTGCAGGTCTCTTACAGAAGCTTCTCGGTAAACATTCAGAAGGCGACAGATAGCATCAAATGAATGAATTGACATGCGTTGGACATAGAAACTTTATGAATTTAACTTCCGCCAGTTTACTTTCAACATCATTAATTGATTTTGTGTTGGTGGCTTAAAAAAATTAACCTGACAATGAGGTCGTGCTGGTATAGTAAATACGTTGACGATGTTTGTCAACGTTGCGTCGTTTATGTAACAGGATATTTTGAGCTGCAGTTTTTTATGAATGCATGTCCATCTCATTGAATAATCTCTTAAAAGTAGGTTAATCATCTTATACATAGATATAATATATATATATATTATATATATATATATATAATATATATATTAATAACGCAAGTGTTATGGGTGTATTTAAACAAATTTATAGATTAGTTATTTATATATATATATAAATTTATATATGTATATT